AATATTTATAATTATTACATTAAAAATATTTATAAATATTAGTAAAAAGTAAATAAGAGTTGTTTTTAATTTATTTTAGTCTTTATATATTCTAACGTGTAATCTTTTCGATCTAATAATTTCGGTTGATTATTATCGCATAAACGAGCACATATTAATTTTCCATTGTTATTACTAAGATTATCTACGCAAAATATAACTTCCTGATTAATTAATTATGTATTTCTTAGATCGTTTTTATTATTTGCGAGCGGATACTACAACTCTGCGATTGTCAGGAAGATAATTCGGCTTCTGAGATTGCATATACGATTTCCAACGTGCCTTTTACTCAAAAATTCATTTGTCACGTCTTGGAGAAATTTCGTGACAAGGGTAATATGCGACACTCCTATTCATGGGCGGAATCCCTTACGGATTCCTATGAATATTCAAGTGAGAGAAGTATTATATGCAATTTAATAATTGAGCAATTTATGAAATTAACTTTCGCCCATTCCAGAGATTATTCAATTAAGTAATTGAATTGTTTGTGGAATGTTTTACTTTCGATTAATATCATCATATTGTACAGTTATAAATATATTTTTTGTTTAAATACTTTAAAAATAAAGTAAAATTGATCCTTTTCGAACATATTTCTTAATTTTATTGATTAATTTATTTATTCTTGATTTATGTAACATATCTTGGAAAGCAAGGATTAGTATTAAAATATTTATGAATGCTACTATTTATATTATATATTATATATTATTTATATATTATATATTTTAGCTTCCACAAAAGCGTGCAGTAGTAGTCAAGGTTCGTCCCGAGATACCTGTGATGATATAGGAAGATTGAGTGACGTATTTTGTATATCACCAGATACTCCTTCCTGTGACTCTACATTTCCAGGTATTAACAAATTTTAATGTGGCTTTTTCGATGATATCATCGATATCTATTTCGATGATATCTCGCTATGAAAGTAATGTGCACATCTTACAATAGACCTTACTGTGACAGGTCTGGACGACAGTTGCGTGGATGATGTCTTAGGCGATGGCATTCATGATCAGGATCTGCTTGATAACGACTGTTACAAAGAGATTCAGTCGCACATGGATTTGAAAAGCGTCTCCCGTAATGATTATGAAAGAGTGACGGCCGAAGAAGCTATCAAAGCGCTCATCAGAGATAGTGTTTCACTTCCTAATCCTATAAAGAAACGTTTGCAGAATTATCAGGTATATTTTATCAATAAAAAATTTAGACACTTTACTATTTTCAGCGTGTACATTAATTATTACATATATACAAATCATTCATTCAGTTACTTCAAACGTATACAATTGCTTGAATGCTTACAGTTGGCTGTAGAATCATAAATAACGAATAGTATGAGCTATATGCTTACTGACAGAATGAATCAATTTGGCATACAACGCGAATGTATTATGTGTGTAATATGAATGTATAATTCTATTTTTAAAACTGCAATCAAATTGCAATTATTATGATTAATCCTAGTTATGTTAAAGACATAATTTTTATGTCTTTAAGTCACACACACACACACACATACGCGCGCGCGCGCGCGCACACACACACATTACCGTACACTTGCAGAAGTTATAGCAATCTAAATCGAATATATGTTGAATTAAGAAATAATAACTAAAATTTTAAAAGAAAAATAGAAATGTTTTTATCTTGGTTTGCAAAATAATAGCATAAAGCAATTAAATTGTTTAAAAAATGTAACATAATAATATTCAATTATAGAAAATTATATAAATACTAACTATAAATAATAACGTATAGTAATAAGGTATAGTAATAATAACATAAATAATAACATATAGTAATAATTTGTCTGATATTTTATTTAATAATCTGTTCATAATGCATTGTTACAAACAATAATGTTAAGTTAATAGTAAGAAAATGAAAAATATATTTTCAGAGTGACTTAAATCATCGATGTACTGCTTGGCAGCGATTAGAATTGGAAACTAATTTAGAGTTATTATCAGCATTATTGTTCGAATGGTTGGAAAATCTGAAGCATCCTCTTCTTGATGTTGACAGCCTTAGTTTCATTGTCGTGTGGAGTTCAAAGCCGCAGCGATGCCTTGAAAAACTATCTGTTTGTACAAGATACTTATTAGAATATCTTTTGCGGTTCATTACTCGCTTAAGACCTGTGACAGCTGAAAGCCAGAGTTTAATTACCAAAAGGCTAATGGCGGCACTGACGCAGCAAACAATTTGGATCAAAAATTATTTTCATCCCTCACGTATGTGAATTTTTTAATTGTTGACAATTTTTAAGTAACAATTATTTTATTAGCTAATATACTATTGTATATAATACAATAAGTGTCACATTATGCAAAATTATGTAATCAGAATAATAATCTTTAAAATAGTCCCCAAAAATAATATTTGCTTAAAGATGTTTAGAGACACGTGGTATAATTGTATCCTATCCATCAGTTCTATACCTTATTTGCGTCATATCACAATCCCCAGAAATATCGATTTGTCCAACACAGTCCGCTTTTATCCTATTTATATTTCAATATCGATAATCTTTATGTCGATACTATAAGGAACACAGACTCATAGACACTAACTTTTGTTGTTCTGTTCGCTTTCTATTAAACAAATTAATACTAATATAGAAATAAATAGCTTTTTGACATTGTTAAAACTTGGATTTCAGATAAACATTTCCAGAAATTGCGACGCGGTACCGCTGGTAAGCTCAATGAATTCTTCATTCGCCTGATGAATTTGATAGAAGAAGTTAACACTCAAGGATTAGACAAGCCTCCATGGACATCGAAATGGGAATTATTATCTAATCACTTGCGGGATATAGATAGTCAGAAAAATAATGGATGATTGTAATAAATTTACAGTTTAGCATTCCGACGAATTTTTTTCTATTTGCCAACAATATAGATAAATTTCTATAATTTATTTTTCACTAGGTAGAAACAAACAAATAATTTATAAATTATGCGAATCATTCGCAATCATTATATTAACGATTTTCTTACTATAGCAGCTCTTGAAAAATGTCTAGTCTGTAATAGCAGCTGCAGGTAATCGTCTAAGCAAGATTTAACTCACTAATGCCCATTTCCACCAATGTAGATTAACTTTAATCTCGGTTCAACTTACTCTTCGTCTTTTTCTAATCTTTAGAACAAGAAAAAAAACGAGGAATAAGTTGAACCGAGATTAAAGTTAATGTACATTGGAAATGGGCATAAGAAGTTAAAAGATGAGTTTTATATAACACTATAAAATAGAATATCTTTGTTATTGTACATTATATTAAGACTCCTGTTCACTTACTATCACTATTTCAAATCGTGACGTCAAAAGCAAGAAGAATATACAATGAAGGTACCTATATATATATATATATATAATACATTAGGTGTGAGAGAAAGTTCGTGGCGTT